AGACAATCTCAAAACTAAAATTAAGATAATTAATTCTAAAAATGAAAAACAAGAGATTAAAACTAAGTTAGATACTAATAAAACAAATCATCCATGTTCAACTTGCAATAAATTTAAAGAAGAAATTAGTAATGTAAGAAACACTCTTGCACAATTTACAGCTAGAAGAAATAACTTAGACATAATATTAGGAACACAAAGATGTGTATTCGAGAAGGTAGGATTAGGATATAATCCTCAAAAATTACAAAAGAAATACAAAAATTTCTTCATACCCTCACAAATTACTAGTTTTCCATTCACAACTTTTTTTTACTGTGGTAAGAAAGGTCATAATTCATCAATATGCTATATTAGAAAGAATTTTAACAATCTCAAGAATTTAGTTTGGATTCCAAAAGGTTCTTCTATTAATACTAACAATAAGGATCCAAAGAAAACTTGGGTTCCTAAATCAATCCTTTCTTTTTCTTGAAGGATTTCACAAATCAAACTTGGTACATTGATAGTGGATGTTCCAAGCACATGACAGGAGATGCTTCGAAATTCATTGACCTTACTCCTAAGAGAAGTGGACATGTAACCTATGGAGACAACAACAGTGCCCGTTCTAAGGTAAAAAATTTATCCCCTTTGATTGGTTTGGAACGGCCCGTTCTAGTCTAGAACAGCCCGTTCCAACCTACATTTTTTAGGTCTTTTATAAGCCTCGGAACGGCCTGTTCTGATTTGAGAACGGCCCGTTCCGGACTTGGGAATGGCCCGTTCCGATTTTGGAACGGCCCGTTCCAGACCACTAAAAAAGTTAATTTAGGCTCTTGGGCCCTCTGATGTCATATCTTGTTATTTGTTTGCCCTCGGATGAAATTGGGTGTCTACAGGTACCTACAACTATCATTGTTTGCAAAGCACCTTCCCACCAGATGCCAACCTCTCCAGAAAGCATGAAGGCAGCCAAAGTCACCTTCTGCACCAGAGGACATCCCATAGCTTGCAATAATTTTTCAACTTCAAAAATCCAGTCAGCAGCTCCATCAGGATTATAACCCCCACGGAAGCTTGGTGGATTATCCCGCTGGAATCTCTCCAGCCAATCTACCTCTGGTTGTTGGTTCATATTACCAAGAGCCTGAGCCATCGCTTGAAGAGCATTAGCGATTGCACGATCGTTCCTACCTCCTGCTATTACTTTTCTGATCCCGAGAAAAGTTATCAATTATACTCTAATTAAATAAACAACAAACTTAATCAATCATTGCACTAACATATCAACAAATTCCACAATCAATTCATTCCATCAATTATTTACCAAATAAACATAGTAGACTCATAACTCACAGCCGATTGGATCGACTTGCTTTGATACCACTAAATGTGATAGCCTTACTACCCCCAACACATATATTGTAATAATGAAAACTTACAAATAAATTTTTCAATTTCAGTAAAAGGGTTCACATGAGAATCTTCAAAATTATTCTTCAATAATCACAATAATAACAATGAAACGAAAGAGTTTACAAATTGTTTTCAAAAATAATATTTACAATTCCAAATCTATATAAAAAATCTATGTCCTAAAAAAATCCTCTTCCTCGATGTCACAATATCATAGCATACTCACAATTCAACTGTTGGCATTCTAGATGCCACTCGTAGCCGGATCCTCCTCACCTAAAACATCCACAATTTATACGATGAGAAAAGAAAATATCTATATGCAAAGCACATACAAACACACCACAATGTAATCTCATCATAACTCATTACTTAATAAAATATTTACAAGCATTTATATATATCATAATTTATCAATCATTCATCATCTTCACATCTCAATTCACAATTACATCAATCTATCACAATCCACATAAATCTTACAATTAACATTATGTCAAGGCCACGCCACAACTGATACAAGTGATACGGGTTAATTGCCTCACTCATCCGACACCATGCCAGGGGCACGCTCGTCCTTGTAGCATCACCTACCCAAGGTTCGTCTCATCCCTGGTCATTAGTGTGAGGAACCACAATCACATTACAATCCACACAAGTCTTGCAATTAATCCTATGACAGGGCTGCCATATTTGGCATAAGTGATGCATGTTAATTGCCTCACTCATCCCACACCATGCCAGGGGCACGCTCGTCCTTGAAGCATCACTACTCAAGGTTCGTCTCATCCCTGGTCATTAGTGTGAGGAACCACAATCATAATCATATTCACATCCATACAACATCTCATCTCATAACTTAATTCCATACACACATCAAATAAGTCCAAAATAATGGGTTTCATACACATCAAGCAATTCACATCTAAATCATCAATTTTTATCAAGTAATATAACAATAACATTCATAAATTAATAAAATAATCAATAGAATTATCAATTTAATATAATTTTAACATAAACGGTAAAACCCCCAATTATTCCTAAACCTAGCTCACAGACACTTTTCTACAATTTCATTCTCTCTCCCAAATCATCATTCTTATAAATTAAATATATATTTCTAATCCTCAACACATACAAAATTTAATGGTATCATTAATTCCTCAAACAGAAATAATCTAATTTTTTCAAAACTTAACTTACAGGCACTTTTCTATAATTTTGTTCTCTCTCCCAGAGCATCATTTTTACAAATAAATCATACATTTGTAGTCCTAAATATATATAGAATCACATAAGACCAATAATTCTCTAAACAGAAATAATTATAAAATTACTCATAATCCTAAGGGACTCTTCCTCTACCCAATTCCCTCATGTAACTCTACATATAAATAATCCCCTTTTCCCCGTACTTGGATATGTAGAAGCTGAACCTACACAAGATCTGGTTGATCTCCCTCGTTAGGTTCCTCTCAGTTTGAAGCAGAAAGTAGAGGAAAAGAAGAGAGAGCAGAAGAAAAGAAATCAGAAAATGAGAGGTGTGCCTTTTGGGAGTGACAAAGAGCTCAATTTATAGGCATTAGGCTTCGTCGGAACGGCCCATTCTGGACCCTTAAATCATTGGTAAAAATCACATCCAGAATGGCCCATTCTGGTGTGCATGTATTACTCACAATGGCCATATTTTTGGAAACGGTCCGCTCCAAGCCCGTTCTCATTTAGGATTATAGGCAGTTTTAATAGTCCGAAACGGCCCGTTCCAACTTGAGAACGGCCCGTTCTAGGCTACTAAACTCACATACATTTTGGTAGTTTGGAACGGCCTGTTCCAATTCCGGAACAGCCCGTTCCAAGCTACTAAATCACCCCTATACATTTATAAAAATTACTAAAATACCCTCAATTAAAATAAAAATAAAAATGAAATAAAAACTGGGGTGTTACATATAACTTAAACAATTATGATTTTTTTTATTTTTATGTTTGAATAATTAAAGTTTTTTAAAAATCATGTATTTTTTTATTTATTTATAATATTTAAAATTAATATATCCTTTAAATTTAATTTATGCTTTACATATTTTTTTAATAATATTATTCTTTATTCATTAAAATATCATATACATTAATAAGATTATACAAAAATTAACTTTTATATAACCATAAAAAAAATTATCTAAACAAAAAGTTAAATATTTATTTTTAAATATTTTTAAAATGTATTATTTATTTAAACAATTTGATTCATAAAATAATTTATTTCATTTTAATTTATATTTTCATATTTTAAAAAATATATATTTATTATATTAAAAATATATTTTTATGAATTAAATATAAAAATAACAACAACAAAAAATACTATCCCCACTTCTGAATGAAAAAAAAGAATGAAGGTGTTGTAATGAATAATCTGAAAAGAGAGACTTGTCAATATTAATATTGAGAATGAAAACAATAGTATAAAAGATTCAAGCGGCATATTAGCTATTGGGTTCTATCATTCCTAGTTACTACAAAAAAAAAAAAAGTGTTTAACTGGCCAGGGTTCATTTTTTAGATGTCACAATAAATCATTGACATTTTCATTGAAATACCAATTTTATAATGATGAAAGGAGCGATTTGAATTGTTGTATCCTCTGAAAGTCACACGCCTTACGTAATTCAACGATAATTATAATTTCTAGTTCTAAATTTATTAGAATTTTAAAAATAAAAGTAATCTCTAAGACAGAAATTAAAAAAAAAAAATCAGAAGTTGAAAAGAGATTCACAATAATAAAATACATTAAAATTAGGGGAGTTACTATGATACTCTTATAAATCGAGATGTTTTTATACAAATAATTTTTTAAACTAATAAAAATGATGTAAAATATGATTTTTTTTCTACTACACTAAATGATATGTTTTTATCAAACAAATAATCTAAGTAATTAATTTATTATTTCTTTTCACCAAATATTGATCAAAGTATTTTAAATTATTTTGTAAAAATTAAAATAATTTTGAGAACAATACAATAAAACTTTATTTTTTTGAAGTTGAGAGAGATTTTATAAATTTTTCATTTAATTTGCTCGTTATAATTTGTATATAAGTGTAAAAAATTTCAATTTATCATGACTCATAATATATAAAAAAATATATTCTTACTATTCAAAAATTTTGTATATGTATTATTTATTAAGAATTTTAAGAAAATATATATATTAAAATGAAAAATATAAACATGCTAAAAATCAAATAATTCTAAATCAAATGATGAAATATTTAAAAATAAAAAATAAAAACAGTTCCAAAACCTTTGAAATATATACAAATACAGTAGGATTTCTCTAAAATTAGACTTATCAACCTTCCCTCAAATATTCAAATGAGAAACATACATCATCCCTCGTCGATAAATGATACTTGAAACAGAAACCGTTGAATTTTTAAGGCAAATATATGGCATGACACTTCAACCTCAACCAGCCTTTCATTCAAGTAATGATTATTAAAATTGCCATGAGTGTTTAGTTGAACGAATTATACATATATAAAAATCATAATAAAATTGGCACTAGGCACGAGCGTTTACTTGAAGGAATTATGGCTATATAAACATCATAAAAATTGAAGAAACTACACAAGTATTGAACACTAGTAAAAATGAGTTCCAATTCCAACAAGAGTACACTTCCCAAGGAAGCAGGAAAGGTGGATGATGCTTACCTCTCTGCTATGTTACTTTGCTTTAGCCGGATCCTCCCTGCAGCTCTAAATGCTGCTATTGATATCAATTTGTTTGATATTGTTGGTATTTTGACTTAGATCCACAAACAAAGTGACGAATCAGTTCGTGCTTTTGACCGTTAATTCCGTTATTTCTATTTGTTTTGTTTCCTGATCAGCATATGCTTCGGCTGACCTGTTATAAAAGGTCACGAAGCTTTCTTTCTTTAAACTGCTGGTTCGTGTACTTCATTAAGCAATAAAATCTGTTTCTGCTCCTCCTGTGGACGTAGCCCAATTTTGTGGGTGAACCACGTAAATCCATTGTATTCTTCCTCTTTTCTTTCACATTTATATTTCTTTGTCTCTGTGTATATTATGTTTCTGTTTTTGTTTGTTCTTTTTCAAATTCATAACAAACTGGTATCAGAGCTCAAGTTGTGATCAAGGGAATTCAAGAGTTTTGTTCAGCAGAATTCAACAATTTTTGCAAGGATGAAGGGATTGTTAGACAACTTACTATCAAGAATACTCCTCAGCAAAATGGAGTTGCTGAAAGAATGAACAGAACATTACTGGAGAGAACAAGGTGCCTTTTATCAAATGTTGGTCTCAACAGAAGCTTTTGGGGAGAAGCTGTCAACACGGCCTGTTTCTTGATCAATAGGACACCCTCTACAGCTATAAGTCTGAAGACTCCTATTGAGATTTGGACTGGGAAACCAACAAATTACTCTAACCTTAGAGTATTTGGTTGTAATGCCTATTACCATGTGAATGAAGGAAAACTGCTACCTAGATCAAGGAAAGGCCTATTCATGGGATACGATGATGGAGTGAAGGGCTACAGGATCTGGTCACCCTCTGAGAAGAAAGTCATACTCAGCAGAGATGTGATATTTGACGAATCACATTTGTTCCATCCTAAATTGGAGGTTCCAATCACTGCAACACATAACAGTCATCCACCTCAGGTGGGGAAGGTTGAATCTATATCAAAAAAGACAGAAGAGAAGGATTTGTTAGATAAATTTTCTGAAGCATCTCAAGAAGAAGAGCAATCAGAAAATTCTAGTGCAAATAAGTCTCACCAAAATGCTGAACCTGATTCTATTCAACTCAATCCTGGAATCAGTCAGAAACCTAAGAGGGTTATCAAGCCTCCTAAGAGATATGGTTTTGAAGACATGGCTACCTATGCTTTACATGCAGCTGAAGAAATAGATTCAGATGAACCTGCCACCTACAAAGAAGCCATCAGTCATCCCGAAGCTGAAAAGTGGATCTTAGCCATGAGGGAGGAAATGAAGTCTTTATATAAGAATCAAACCTGGAAACTTGTTGAACTACCTAAAGGAAGACATGTGGTAGGTTGCAAATGGATCTACAAGAAGAAATCTATTTTTTCAGAAAAGGAAGAAATCAGATATAAAGCTAGGTTAGTTGCAAAAGGATTCAGCCAAAAAGAAGGAGTGGATTTCAATGAAATCTTCTCACCAGTTGTGAGACATACATCTATTAGGGTTCTGTTAGCTATTGTGGCAAATCAAGACTTGGAACTTGAACAACTTGATGTCAAGACTGCTTTTCTCCATGGAAGGTTGGAAGAAAACATTCTGATGAAACAACCTGAAGGTTTTGAAGTTCAAGGCAAAGAAGGGTATGTATGTCAACTACAAAGGTCCTTGTATGGATTAAAACAATCTCCAAGGCAATGGTGTAAGAGATTTAACAGCTTCATCACCAGCCAAGGGTTCAAGAAAAGTATCTATGATTGCTGCATCTATCACAACAAGGTGGAAGATGGATCTATGATTTATCTTCTACTTTATGTAGACATGCTTATTGCATCAAAAAGCATGTGTGTCATTCAAAATCTGAAGGTTCTCTTGAGTGGTGAGTTTGGTATGAAGGACCTAGGGGCTGCCAAGAAGATCTTAGGGATGGAAATATTTAGAGACAGAACTCAGAAAAGGTTATTCTTGTCTCAGAAGGATTACATACAAAAGATTCTTGTAAGGTTTGGAATGGTTGATTCAAAACCTATCAATACTCCTCTTTCAGCAAAAGAGAAGCTTTCAGCAACAAAAACCATTCAAACTCAAGTTGATCAGGACTATATGTCAAAAGTTTCGTATTCAAGTGTAGTTGGCAGTCTCATGTATGCCATGGTATGCACAAGACCCGACCTTGCTTATGCTGTCAGTATGGTTAGCAGATTCCTAAATCGACTACATAAGGAACATTGGAAGGCTACCAAAAGGATTTTCAGATATCTTAAAGGGATTGCAGATGTAGGCTTGATCTATGAATCTTCCTCAGATTGTCCTCTTGTAGGCTATTCAGATGCTGACTATGCTGCTGATTTGGATAAGAGAAGGTCTTTAACAGGATATGCTTACACTCTTGGTAGCTGTTTGGTGAGTTGGAAGGCAACACTTCAACCTTCAGTTGCACTATCAACTACAGAAGTTGAATATATGGCACTCACTGAAGCTGCTAAAGAAGGGATCTGGTTAAGAGGACTTATAAGTGATCTTGGAATCAATCAAGAGCATGCTGACATTTACTGTGATAGCCTCAGTGCTATATGCTTGACAAAAGATCAAGTTCATCATGATAGAACCAAGCATATAGATGTTAGATATCACTTCATCCGATCAGAAAGGAGAATTAAGGTTCACAAGATCAGCACCTTACACAATCCTGCTGATATGTTCACAAAGCCAGTCCCAAAGCGCAAGTTTGACCATTGCTTGGACTTGCTAAATGTTGATTGTTGGAGATAGTTCCATATGTTTGGAGGATGCAAATTCTTTTTTTTTTTTTAAAGTCTGTATGTGGATTCTAATTCAAGGTGGAGAATTGTTGGTATTTTGACTTAGCTCCACAAACAAAGTGACGAATCAGTTTGATGAGTCAATATTTTCCCCTATTTTCTTACCTTTCTGTACTTATTTTAATCTTTGATTTGTGCCTAATTGCTTATATTCTGCATTGTTTTCTATTTGGACTGTAATTGGACCGGTAATTCATATTTTAGCTAATTTGAATTTTCTGCATCTAATTATTCCAAATTTCATTTTCAGGGCAGTTTAATAATTATTTGGGCTTGGAATTAATTTAGGACTTCAAGTGGAGCTGCCACGTCATTTTCCACCTCAGCACCATTTTCCACCTCAACATTTATTTTCATTTTATATTTTATTTTATTGTAGTTTATTGGGTCAGACTTGTATTTTATTGGGCCCAATTCGTTTTGCTCATTTAGGTCTAGGCTAGGGCTGACTTGGCAGCCACTAGGGGAGGGGTCTGATGTGACCACGTGAACAGTAGCCCCCTTCATTATTCTGGACGTTTTAGCTTCTCTTTCTTTTAGTTTGGATGTTTGGGGTCTCTTGAGGTGCTGAACGTTTTGTTTCTCTGCTCAAAAACTCCATTGTTATTCACGTTTTGCTTGCTTTCAGTTGAGTTTTACGTTTTGCTTCCCTGTTCTGCTTCCTTTACGTTTTGCTTCTCTGAGCTGCCATTTCGTTTTCCTTTTCTTCCTTGCATTTTCGTTTCTGTTTTTGTTTTACTTTCTGTTTGTAATTTCGTTTCTGTTTTCGTTTAAATGGAAGGCTAAAAACACTAGGTTGGCTTCTTGTTGTGGATTGTAATCTCTGTTTGAGGTTGGGTATATTTTTCTATCTCTATTCTGCTTTGTTCTTCTCCATTGAACCTCTGTGACCATGCTTAATGGGTTGTGCTTCAATGCCACAGTTGCTTAAAATCTATGTTGATGATATTATTTTTGGAGCTACTAATGACTACTTGTGCAAGGAATTTTCAAATGATATGCAAAGTGAATTTGAAATGTTCATGATGGAAGAATTAAATTTTTTCCTTGGACTTCAAATAAAGCAAACCAAAAATGGAATTTTTATAAATCAAAGCAAATATTGTAAGGATTTGCTCAAAAGATTTGGAATAGAGAATACCAAAACAATGGCAACACCAATGAGCACTACTTGCTAGCTAGACAAAGATGAAGATAGAAAATCCATAGACATAATGAAATATAGAGGTATGATTGGATCTCTTCTTTATTTATCTGTAAGTAGACCTGATATTATGTTTAGTGTATGTTTATGTCCAAGATATCAATCTAACCCTAAAGAATCTCATTTGAGTGCTGTGAAAAGAATAATGAGATATCTGTTAGGAACTATCAATCTAGGTTTATGGTATCCTAAAAACATGTCTTTCAATCTAGTAGGCTACTCTGATTCTGAGTTTGCCAGATGCAAAATTGACAGAAAGAGCACTAGTGGAACATGCCACTTTATTGGATCTGCTTTAGTATCATAGCATAGTAAAAAGCAAAATAGTGTTTCTTTATCCACTGTTGAAGTAGAATATATTGCTACTGGAAGTTATTGTGCACAAATTCTATGGATGAAACAACAACTATCTGATTTTGGTTTATCTTTGGTTCATATTCCAATTAAGTGTGATAATACTAGTGCTATCAATCTCTCTAAGAATCCAGTTCTTCATTCTAGAACCAAACACATTGAGATAAGACACCATTTTCTTAGGGATCATGTTCAAAAAGGAGATTGTGTTCTACAATTTGTTGAAACAAATAATCAATTAGCCAACATGTTCACAAAGCCCTTACCAAAAGAAAACTTCTTTTCAATTAGACAAAAATTGGGAATTCTAGACTCTTCTCACATTAACTCTTGACTCTATATTAAAAATACGCAATTTTAAGTTTAGTAATCGATTACCAGAGATAGTAATCGATTACCAGGGGAATGAATTTAATTTATTTTTGAAATTTTGAAATCTCGTAATCGATTACAGGATTATATAATCGATGAACAGAGGCTATTTGCTCATTCTGTAAAACTTGTAATCGATTACAATACAATGTAATAGATTACCAGAATGTGTTTGCACTTATCTGGGAAAAGGGTAATCAATTACCATGTAATGTAATTGATTACCAGAAACAAAATGCATGAATCTGGAAAACGTGTAATCGATTACCATGTATATGTAATCGATTACACGATGTCTGCACTTAAAATTCAAAAC